CTTGTAGCATGTATTTGCACTTCTTTTCTTTTTATGACTGAATAATATTCCATTGTATGGACAGACCATAATTTACCCCTCCATCAATTGATGGATATTTGGAGTGTTTCCACCTTTTGGCTATTATGAACAATGCTATTACGAAGACTCGTGTACCAGTTTTTGTGTGGACTTCTGTTTTCAGGTCCCTTCAGCAAAAGCTGAGGAGTGGAACTGCTGGGTCAAATAGTAACTGTTTGAGGAATTGCCAGACTGTAGCTAAACTATTTTACATTCCTTACAGCAGAATATGAAGCTTTCCATTTCTCCATATCCTCACCAACATTTTTTTTTATTATAGCCATCCCATTATAGATACCCAGTGGTATCTCATTGTGGTTTTGGTTTGCATTTCTCTGCTGACTAATAATGCTAAGCATCTTAGTGTGTGTTTGTTGACTATTTCTGTATCTTCTTTGGAGAAAAGTCTATTCACACCCTTGACCATTTAAAAAATTGTGTTCTCTTATTGAGTGGTGACATTTTTTAAAAATGTTTTGAATACAAGTTCTCATGTGATATATTATTTGCAAATATTTTCTCCCATTCTGGGGGTTGGTATGCCTTTCTTCATTCTTCAAGTTTTAAAACCTATGTCTTTATTTTTTTTGGAAATTTATTTAATTCTGAGAGAGAGAGTGAGAGAGAGAGAGAGAGGAGGGGCAGAAAGAGAGGGAGAGAGAGAGAACCCCAAGTAGGCTCTGCACTGTCAGTGCGGAGCCCCACGTGGGGCTCAAACTCACAAACCCATGAGATCATGACCTGAGCTGAAATCAAGAGTCGGGCACTTAACCGACTGAGCCACCCAGGCTCTACTCCCAGGGTGGGGCCCAATGTGGGGTGCAACAGGGGGCTTGAACTCATGATCCTGAGATTAAGAGTTGGCCACTTAACCAGCTGAGCCATCCAGGCACCGCTGAAAGTATTTATTTTTTAACCCTTTAAGATTATTTTTTATATTTTGAGAGGGGGGGGGAGAGAGAGAGAGAGAGAGAGAGAGAGAGAGAGTGTCTTAAGCAGGCTCCACACTCAGCACAGAGCCCGACATGGGGCTCGATCTCACAACCGTGAGATCATGGCCTGAACTGAAGAGTCAGATGCTTAACCATCTGAGCCACCCAGGAGCCTCTATTTTTTAATCTTTTAAAAACTTTTATTTTTAAATCATTTTCAATATGAGGGTTTCTTTCAATTGGTGAGTTTAAGGCACATAACCATTTTCCACATGGTCAAATGCACTGGGAAACCTCTGTCAAGTTTATTTTCCTCCCTGGACATCTCCCTCCTGATAGCTTATGTCCTCTTGTTCCGACCTGGACTCAATACTGCGGGCCTGCTATAAGGCTGTTATCCTGCCACTATGTTGGGTTGGTGCCCTGATTCTTGGTATCTCTTGTCTTCCTTGATTTTCTCCCTTATCCTTTGTGGAGTACATCTTTCAGTATCCTTTTTAAAAAGCTCCACAGACAGTAAAGTCTGAAATTTTTATGTCTGAAAGTGTTTTAAACCTCACCTGTGAGGGGGCGCCTGGGTGGCTCAGTCGGTTAAGCATCTGACTTTGTCTCAGGTCATGATCTCGTGGTCCGTGGGTTTGAGCCCCGCTCTGTGCTGTCAGCACAGAGCCTGGAGCCTGCTTCAGATTCTGTGTCCACACCCCCCCCCCCCC